GAGCAGCTGCATCTCTGCCACCTCCTGGCGGCTCAGCGCTTTGTCACAGGACTGAAAGGTCAGCCTGTAGCAGAGGCTCTTCCGTCCAGTCTCTGGCTGCTGGAAACTATCAATTAACTGGAGGGCTATGACTGTTTCACCTGACACCTCCCTAGCAATGGTGTGAAAAGCAACTTCATCAAACTGTTCCCCATCAGGAACCCAAAAGCTGACATCATGCACATAGGAAGGTGGATAGAGAGAAAAACTCTTGAAAAGCCTTAACTGTCCTCCAGGAAATTGACTGATGAACCGTGCGTCTGATGTCCAGAGCATTCGCCAGTCAGATATTCCACAGATTAGCATGGTTAGGAGGTCAAGATTCAACGAAGCAAAGACAACAACCAACTCACTGCTTCCTAGTTCATAATGAGTTATAATTCCCACACAGGAGCCCTTCTCACAAGAGCCTGGAGTATCTATCTCCACACAGATGAAGTACTGAATTTTACTAAACTGAGATTCAAAAGCAGCAAAGTCATTTAGCTCCGATGTTTCAAAGCTCGTTGCTTCATGCAGATTGATATTCAGTTTAAAGCCAGAAACAGCCTGCTGAAGAGAATGTACGCTGGTTTTAATGTTCCTCGCCAAAATCTCAATGCAGCTGTTCTCTGTACCCCTGTTGACTGCACATGTAAAAACCATCTCATGAAAAACAGGCATGGAGTAAGGAGTGATGAGACACTTCCTGAAAACTGGGCCAGAAAGAACATGAAGCGTCCCTGGGAGAAAGGCTCCTCTTTGTATTATTGCCTGAGCAATAGGCAGAAGGGAAGGTCTAAGATAATACTGTTCGGAAACGTTGCATCCCTCTTGTGCATTCACCCAGCCATTCTTATGTGTGTCACTGCAAAAATCAACATGGGAAAATAAAACTGCATTTGCCAGTCCATTAGACATTTCTTCAGTGCTTGGAGTCTCCTCTGGGCTCGGAATGATCCAAAAGATACGTGAGTGACAAACACCATTGAGGTGACCTCGGTGGAGCAGGAAAGGGCAGTCGTCAATGTTCTGTAACGGAAAGGCTTGGCTCAGCTCTGCAGTGAGCTTCTCCTTTACTGTCCGTACTGGGTGATTTGAATTGAGTTCTAGGAAACCCCTGTGAAAAAGAAAAGTGCAGATTACAGACACTACTAAACAGATTTCCTTGAGATGCCTACCTGCGATCATAATTTGAGTGCAGCAATTTACCCAAAACAATCTCAGATATTAAGCTGGTTTCTAACAAGCATCTGAACAAGGCAAGTCTTTCATCAAAGGTTTTGCAGTGGCCAACTCATTTTCAGGACAGTGGTGTTTGTCTCCAGGTTGCAATCAAGAATTAACTGCACTTGCACTGGTAAAAAAGGAATGGGACTTAACAGTCAGCATCACCATTTCCACTCAGCAGAAGCACTACCAAACTAGAGAAACGAATCAAATTACGATAGCACTGGATAGTCTCTGCAGTACACAGAAGTTTGCCTAAGAGGTTAGCATTTTTTATCCTAGCGAGCCTTAATATTGTGCTATTAGCAGACACCAAGTCAGCTCCTGGATTTCTTTCACAGTGCAATAAAAGAGAGTAAAGTCTTCATCTTTATTTGTGCATTCAAGTACACAGCAGCTTGGTCTCAACGACAAAGTTTCTTTTTTTCTTTTGTAGATTTATTTTTATGTAGGCCATAACCACACACCAATATGAAGACTTGAAGAAGAAATAGAACAGAAAATTCTGCAAAGGGGAGAAGAGAGAAAGTGAAGCAATTCCATTTTATCTGATACCTACGCTGGTGATTCCTCCTGAGAGCAGGAGTGTGCGTTATTGCCAAACAGAAACTAATTGTAAAACTTACCTATTAATTTTATCCACAAGTACTTGTGGTACTCGAAAAGAAACTTTTTGGCTTTCCAGTTCTGTCTTGCAGATCATAGGTTTGAAATATGGTAGCGGCGTGCTTCGTGTGAAAATGTGGTTTAAAGCACCCTCTACACAGAAAGATTTATCTTGACTCCTGACAATAAAAAAAAGCAGAGGAAAATCATTGATCGTTTCCTATGTTTAATGTGTCACAAGTAAGCATTACACAGGTAGCTCTGTGTAACACTTAACACACCTTTTGCTGAATCCCAGGTCTTGTTACAAGGTGACAAAAATGCAGCACTACCATATTTTTAGTGGGCACTGGAAAAAGTTGCACAGAAAGGTTGTGCCATCTATCCCTGGAGACTGAATGTGGCTCTGAGCTGGCTCTGCTTTCAGCTGTGGGGTAGAACTAGATGATTGCTGGAGGTCCTCACCAACATCAACCATGCTGCGATTCTGTGATTGTCTGCTAAGCAGATACACATACCGCAGTCCTCCTCCTGTCTTTAGTCCAAGATTTACATTTGTCCTGAAATGGACCATTTTGACCTTTAAAATCCTAAGATAATGTTATTTTTGAGAAGGTACGTTGGCAAGAAGCTTGCATTTTTACCTTAGCTATTCTGCTTAGAGGTGAAAAAGAACTGTAGCTATTTTAAGGAAAACTAAAGGGAGTCCCTCTTTCCACAAACAAGATACTAAACCAACGTACTAGTGCTAGGCATTATAACAGTACGAATATCAACTTTTCAGTTTTGCCACATGATGGTTACCTGTAGCCTGTACACTTATATCCATGGATAGTCTCTGCTTTAAAAGGATGAATGTTACTCAAGATAAATCCAGCTCCTGCTGCCACGGCCACTATTTGCCAGCTGTTGTGCCATTCTCTCCTTGGTTGATCAGCAGGTGTCCCGCCCTGTCCATTGCAAAGAGCCACATGGACCTCTCCCTCCTCTGTCAGCACTTCTGCGCAGCTGGAAGGAAAGCCAGGCAACAAGAAAAATCCTGCTAGCACACCCAGAAAAACCCCTGTAACACAGCTAGCGGCCAATTAGCATAGAACTACTTCTGGTTTACTCACCTATGGAAAAAGTGGGCAAGAAGCTCTCTATTCTTCACTATGCCAGCCTTTCTCCCACAGTGAGGGAAGTTGAAATAAATACAATCAAATACTCTTTCTTCTGGTAAAAAATAGTCCTTCAGCTTGGTGCAATCCACAGAAAACACAACTTCAGCTCCTTCAAAAGTAGACGAAAAACAAGACCGATGTTTATCATTACGGAAAATTTTAAAGAAAAGTAGCAAAATTTTAAAGAAAGGTAGCAATTAAAAAATTTTAAAGAAAGGTAGCAATTAAAGTCCTCTAGCCCATTTTTAAGCACCAGCATCAGCTGCTGCCAGGCATCTTCCCACTCCTGTGCATTAAGAAAACCAGAAAGCCCAGGCTCCCTTTGCTCTCTTGCAGAGATCTCTGCAAACTGGCTACTCGTTTCAGTACTATTTCAGTCTGATTAGATTTTAGGGTATTTGATTTAGCCTCGTGGACAATTCCAATTCCTCCTTCCAACAGTGGGTTTCTAAGATGCTGCCTGGAGTGAAGGGCTATAAAGTGACCGGACTGCCCTGGGAGGTGCCGCAGCGGCAGCTCCCTGATTTAAGGAAGACACGTCTCGCTCCGAGAAGGCGCTTACAGCTAACGGCCGGGTACCGGCAGCTCCTCTCCCCGT